TTTTAAAAAGCAGTCATAATATAAAATAGCAGCTCCTAGTAATTTCTTCCAAGTTTGATCTTTTTCAGAAGCTGACTTAGTTCAGTTTGCCTCATTCTTAGAAGCCTCATCAAAATTCTCCACAAGATCTGGAACCTCATCATCATCCTCTTCTCCAGTAGCAAGCGGTACTTTTCCATCCACAGATTGTTTGGGCAGAGCTTCAGCCATTCTCCTTAAACTAGTCAGACTGTCTGCACCAAGCTGGTTCAAGATGCTGGGTAGCATTTCTGTCAGTTGTTTCGTCTCAGCATGGCCTGTAATGGTGAAAGTGTTTGCTGCCAGAGATGCCTGAACTTTTGGGTTGTTGAAGTGGATAACTGTTTCCTGGTTTGTAAATATATTCACCTCTTCAATACCAGAGATATTGTTTACCCCTAACTCCTTTAATGAGAACTGAAGTTTTTTATCATCTGCTGTGGCCGTTCTATGAACCACCTTCTTCTTTCTGCGAGCAGTTCCTTTCCCACCAATGCGCACTTGTGCCTGCAGTTTGGCGAGTTTTTCCTGGTTCATGATAGTTTCTTTCATCTTGTTGGAGCAGATATGGGGCAGCACGGGGGACTAGGGCTGGCGCTCAGGGGGTCTCGGGCGGACCAGCTGAGATTAGGCGCACACACTCGGGGACCCAAGATGGCAGCTAGAGGGCTGTAACAGTATCTTCAAAGTCTGAAAGTCTATCTTCACTTTCATTCAAGGCATCTTGTCAACTTTTAATTGAGTTTTTAATCTTTTGAATATGTCTTTTAATCTGCTCTATGCAGTCTTTTTTTTCTATATTAGTCATTCAAGGTTTGAATCATTGTTTTATTATCCTCTTTTTTATCAGTGTCTTCTTTAGAAGCACTTAGTAATTCTTTCATTATAGTTATCATTTGTTTTTTTACTTGGGAGATTATTTCTGATCTGATTTCTTCTACACCTTTGTGTAATTGTTTCTTTACTTCAGACACTATTATTTCAGAGATTTTAGGTGTGTAAAACTTCCAATTTTTTCTATGCTAGTGTGTTCTCCATTTGTTCTTGGTGGGCTCAGGGACTGAGAATGCATGTTTCTGCTCTTTGTCATTTTATGTTTCAGAGAAAACTATTTTGATTTCTGTGATTTTTTGTGAAAGTTATATAGTACTTAGCTATATTACTATGACCAGAACCTCTCTGTATAGAGTCTGTTCTTTAGGTATCTCTTCTGTGTCAAAGATTCTTGTTTTGTGTGTGTCCCAAGGATTTGCCCTCTCTACTGATTGAGAGTAAGATATTGGTTTCTGTTTGGCATTGACCTCTGACCTTTGGTGTAGAGCTTTGGTGCAGTTATTACCCAACACTTTTTTTTCAGATCCAGTGATTGAACTCAGGCCCTTGCACTTGTCACGCAAGTGCTTATTGCACTGAGCCATCTCCCTGGCCCCCACCTTCTGTTATTATTACCCAAGATAGATCACATGGTTAAGGTAGATATGATTTTCTATTTACAGTATTACAATTAGCAACAGTAATAATGAGTAGTGAGATTTAGCAATTGACAAACTTTTTTAACTAATGGGTTTGTATTTTAAACCATAATGGCAAACATTATGACTGTATAGCTAAGCAGACAGTAAATTGGGAATCTGTATTTAAATGAGTTCCCCTATGTTCCATTTGGTCACCTCCCCTTGATATACCTGAGGTCTTCTAGTCTGACTAGTTCACCCCAGTTACCTGTTGCCAGACAGGGAGAGAGAGAGAGAGAGAGAGAGAGAGAGAGAGAGAGAGAGAGAGAGAATGCTTTCATAGAGCTGGGTCTAGCAGTGTGCCTCAGATTACTGGGTCTGGATCTACAAAGTTCATATTCATCCAGCTAGGTCTGGCTTGGATCTGCCTGCTGTGCTCATTATCTTTCTGCTGTGGCCTGAGGAAGTGAATTCACTGTGCTCCACTGGCTAGATGTTCTGCTCCTGGTTTAGCTGGCTGGGTCTCACCCCTAGCCTCTCTACAGGAAGTTCCACCACAGGGTCCAACACCAAGCCTGTCCACTGGAGCTTTCTATGGCCTGTACATAATGAGCTTTTGAGGGAACATTTTGATTTCAATCATGACAGTCTCTATTCAGAATACCAAAGCCTGTGTTGAGTAAGATTTATATGTAAATCCATGTAGTATGTGTATAGTGGAGTGTGTGTGTGTGTGTGTGTGTGTGTGTGTGTGTGTGTCCATGTATTTGAAGTTATAAGCCCAGTCTTCCAAATTGTAGGGTTTGGGCTGGGGATGTAGCTCAGTAGAATAAGCACTTGCCTGGCAAGTGCAAGGGCTTGAGTTCAACTCCCGGTTCTGCTGACCAAAAAAAAAAGAGTTTCTCTTTCCAAATTGTAGGGCTTGAACTGGCTCTGCCCTAACTCATTCAGGTCACTGCCTGGGGCTTCCTGATGGGTCTTATAAGCAGCCTAATCTCCAATCTCCTAGTGGCTGCCTAATATCACATTGAGAAAATTCAGTGGGGTAAAAATACTGCTTAAGCTATAGAACCACTATATGTGCTGTATAAATATGAGAGAGAGAGAGAGAGAGAGAGAGAGAGAGAGAGAGAAGGAAGAAGGGAAGAGGGAAGATGGAATCACAAAGTATCTGAGGTCCAAGCAGGAAACATAAGTGAGAACAGATAGAAGGTCAAAAATGTGAATGCTAGAGAGATGCAGAATGTCTCCTGCCAGATGATGGTTGAAAAGCTTCTTATGGGGCAAGGCATTACTCATTTATCTTTTTCTTGCATTGCTGGAGTTTGAACTCCGGGCCTGGTGCAGGCCAAGCAATTGCTCTCCCACTAAGCAAAACCCTAGCCCTGAAAACCTTCACCACCTCATCCTGCGGAAAGTCCACTGCCCTGGGATCACCATCAATCTTTCCCCAGAAAGTTTCCCATTGGCTAGTAAGTCATTCATCACACATTTTTTCAATGTGTTCTAGGCCAATACCTAGTACCAAGCGCTTTACCTATGTCAGCTCACAGCAGCAGAGGTGATGTAGCCCCAGGAATGAAACAGAGTAAATAATCAACAAAAAACTGTAGGACTTCATGGTAGGTGATACAAAGAATTTTGGAGAAGGATCAGAACTCATTCCCCTCCCTTTCGCACTGTCAAACACAGATGGCAGCAGGCAGTGTTGGGTGAATTAATTAATTAATTAAAATATATTTAATCTACATGTAGACAAATTGGATTCTGTCTCTAAGCTCTAGGTAGGAGTTTATAACTACAAAAATTATTTCTTTAAAGCAGGATTCAACTTTTCTGATAATGTTATTGCTATGCCTGAATAAAACATTACAAGTCTTCTTTTGAAAACATATTTGAATTTAATCTGTTCAACAGAAGTGGCTTTCAGGAGATTTTTCTCATCTCCTCCCTTGCTGTTATAGGTCCTGTGTCCACAAATAACAGATAAATAGAAGGAAAAGTGAGTTTAAAATATTTTATTTGCATGGAACAAAAAAAAATCAGAAGTACCTCCCCCACCCCGCCCGACGAGCAGGAATTTCTGCCGAGTTCCGGGAACCCCCAGACCCAGCTCTAGCCCAGGTCCGGTGAGTGTGTGGAGAGCTTCTTGCTACCCTGCACCGGTGGGACCAGTCCCAGCGCAGGCACAGCGTGGGCCGGACCCTCTCCCACCCACTAGGGCCGCCTCACACCACTCTGCAGTACCTCCCCATTCCAGCCCGCTGAGTAGGAATTTCTGCTGCTTTCCAGCAATCCCCAGACATAGTCCTAGCCCAGGTCTGGTGAGTGTGTGGGAGAGCTTCCTCTTCCCCCTACTTCACCTTGCCCCATCCAGGCACAGATCAAGCCTGGCATACACGCCTGGGGTGTAATCCTGCAGCTGCAATCACTGCAGAGAGTATAGAGGATAGATTCAACAAGCTAGTCCATGAGCAGAATATCTCACCACAGGGGCACAACAGGTTCACCCTCAAGGGCAGCAGCGGGAAGGAGCTGAGCACAGCAGCCAAACCCAAGCCAGACGCAGCTGGATAAGTCCAAACTTTGTAGAGCTGCACCTGAACTTCAATAAGTGCGAAGATTAGAACTACAGCAAAGATCTACAACAAAGGGCAGAAGACAGTGCTACACAAAATGATGAGAAGGAACAAAATGCAACCTCAAAACCCAAGCCCACAAGAGCAGAGGTCACTAACACAGAAAAAATTGGAAATCACACAGCTGAAAGCAATGAATCAATGGCTTCTGAAATAAAGAAACAGCTGCAGAAAGATACAGAAGACCTCAGATTGGAAATGAAAAAAAGAAATCCCTGAATTAATAACATCTGCACTAAAGAATCAAATGCAGAAACATATGGAGGAAACCCAGTGCCCAACCAGAACAAGTGCAGAGGACAGTAGCTCAGCTCAAATGCATGTATTGATGGCATTGATAGTAAATAAGCAACAGCAGAAAGATATAGAGGAAATCAGAGCACAATTCTTTTCTAAAATAAAAAAAGAACTCTCAGAACTCATAGCAGATGAGGTGGAGAAACAACTACAGAAACATAGGCAGGAAACCCAACATGAAAAAAAAATTGCAGTGAAGGAATTTCTAACTGCTTCTAAAGAAGAAATTGATTAAAAAAAGAGAGAGACAGAGAGAGGAGATTAGAAAAATGACGGATTCCCTGAATGAGCAATACAGGAAAGAAATAGATCGCATGAAGCAGAGTCAAAGAGATACAGAGGAAATTAAACTCTCAATCACAAGCTTGCAAAACCGTTTAAGTGAATGTGAAGACAGAGTTTCAGATCTTGAAGATGCTGGTGTAGCTAGCGAAAAGGTAAGACAGGATCTTTTAAAAACAACGAGGAGGCAGGAAAGAATAATCCATCACCTGCAAGATGATGCAAACATGAAAAATGTGAGACTAATAGGCATCAATGAGAAAGAAGGAGTCAATACAAATGGCATTAAAAAAATATGGGCAGAAGTAATAGCAAAAAACTTCCCAAATATGAGGAAACAATCTGACATTCAGGTAGCTGAAGCATACAGAATGCCAAGTAACCTCAACCCAATGAAAAACACACCGAGACATATAATAGTCAAGATCCCAGAAATTCAGCACAAGAATAATCTACTGAAAGCCACTAGAG